AAGAAGTAGATGAATTCTTGGTAAGGCTTCCCTTGCTAACCTTGGTAACTAATGATATGATAAGCAAAAAGAAGAAACAAGGTAGGCAACCAGGTCTTCTACAGATGCCTCGATCGATCATCCCGCGGCACAGTCCGACGACGACGACGATGACGATCGGCCCTCGTTCTCGTTGAGAGTGTCGCGTTGTGACATGCCCGAGACGAGCCAACAGTCGCATGAATGGATGAATAATTTCATCAAATGCTCCAGACCGGGAAGACCAACTGTTCGGGTAGGAGAAATAAGAAAAGGTATAATAATAACGATAATTATCATCATATTACTCCAACAACAACAGCAGCAGCAGCAGCAGCAGCAACAATAACACATAACACATAACACATTACATGATAATCAGATCGTCATGTCTGACTACATTGCGAACTGCACTCACTCATTTCTGCCCCCAACAAAAAGTAACTTTCTACAATATGAGTAAGACTAAAATGATCCGACACGGGCTTCTTTCTACTATTATCGCAGCCTCTTCTTCCATCAGGGCCGGGATTTCCGCGCCCAGCCGGAGCAATCCACCGGAAATCAGTTGACCTTGCTCGGTCGCTACTCCCAGATAAGTAGGAGTAACAACACTCCAACTGTAGATACATACTAAGAAGCGTAATAAGGTATGTAGATACTGTATGTAGAGTCAAGAGGGAGAAGTGGATAGAAAAACACCTACCTACCTACTACTCCTACCTTGCTCACCCGCACACATCCGCCTCGAAAGGTAAAATTCTAGACATGATCGCCCGGCACTGCTTACCTTGCGACATCCCAGGGGCCCGAGCCACCGAACTACTGTAAGGCAGAATTTTTCCCATGCCTTCCATTCGACTTTTCGTGGTCAATTCCGCAGGCCCATTTCAAGCACAGCACATGAACCTGCGAGCGAACTATTGGGAACAATGAAGATCGACTTCTTTCCCAACCTAGCCCGCGCCCCTTCGATCACGGGCTGGGGCGGAAATGAGAATCTCTCTCTTTCAGACGATTAGCTCGCTTCCTGCGACAACACTATTGTCTCAATCAGATTTGCAGTGCAGGATGAGACGGGCAGACAGGGCCCGCGGAGTAATTCTGAAGAGTTTAGATAATTAGTGAATTAGCTAGTTAACCTTACCTTGATAGCCGAGATGCCGTACCAGTGTAACAGTAGCAGCAGCAGCAGCAGCAACTGTTGGGGATGGTTTTGAATCCCAGCCCTCGTGCAACCAAGACCCAAGCCTCCGGCCCTTTTTTTGCTCGAGTCAGAACGGCTTGACTCAAACAAGGCCTCAATGCAAAACATGGGACCTGTCAAACTTTTTTTCTGCTGAGTCAAACTTAATTAACTTGCTGTCTTCGAAACAGACCTACTATTCAAGCCAATCAATCGATCAATCACCAGTAGTAGAAGCAAGCCACATCCATTCTTCTAGGTAGTGATCTAGCCCAATGCGTATACACCGTCCTTCTCAAAATCGATTCCCAATACATTCACAAGAGTCAAAACTAACGCGCGGAACCACTTCCCGACAGCCTGGTGGGTAGGGAAAAAGAGTTCGGTCACTCCTCATGAAGGTTTAGTAAAAAAGTCAAAGCATGCAGAGGGCTCCATCTTGTATCGACTTCCTGGGATATTAGATTTCAATCCCTGCTACAGTTGCAGTGCTGATACTTTGCAGGTACTACACACTACACAGTAGTACTCCGATCCAATGCGTGGCCTGCTTACACGGCTGGGTGGGATGTGGATCTGACAAATTCATTTGCAGCAGTACTCGCTGATGGCTTAGTAGATAGTATGTATCTATCTATCCTCAACAACTCGTTCCAAGGTACCGATGATGGGAGTTGACATTATGGATTACTTCCATGATGGAATACTTACAGACCTTCCTAATTAAGGCCCGAAATCATCTGCGGATAAGCCCGTTTGCGAGAGCCAATCATCAGGGCCGATCTCTTCTCCCCTCATTTCCCACTCCACGAGGTAAAGTCATTGTTAATATTAAATGGGACCGCCTCATTAACCCGGGGATCACGACTAGTGAGATCCGGCTTACTACTAGAGACTTAGTAGCTACTGAATACTAACTCAATCACCAGGGAAAAAAGTGCAGCTAACGACCTCGCTGATAAGCAATGCCTACAACTATCCAGATGAAAGTACGGTGGAATCTCTATTGTACAATGTGTTAGAAAATAATACAAGTCCGCACCCTCGCATAAAAACCACCTCTCCTATTTTTACTATAACTCGTTAGTCTACTTTGGTATAAGTTCCCAAGTTCCAACCTCGGCCTGGCGGGCCCACGTGTGCTCCTTGCAAATAAGATTAAGGAACGGCCTTGCCATCCAGTCTTGATGAACCACTAGTTTATGGGTCCGGCCTTGCCGTCTCCAGAAATTATTGACCTGCTGAAGTGGTACCATGGATTGTCATATCACAAAGGGTCTACCAACTTAACATGTTCATGGTCAACCTGTTGAAATATTTTATTTCCAGGAGGGTCGGTGTATTTGATCGTTGTGGCTTGCTCGGCAAGCTGAGATCCCGATTTCGTGGATACTATTTATGCATCATATCTATCATGGACACGGTGTGGATACTACTCTGTATGTATATTGTTTCTCTCCCACCGGAAGAGTACGAGATAGATTATCGCGTGTGGTTACTCGAAACGAGAACCACCCATTTATCTTTCCGTAGTAGTACTACACACGGGAGTTCCTCTATGTACCCTGCCCTGTCCTGCATATGCGAAATGAGCGTTGATTATTTAACACTACTACTTCCATGCGCAAGGAAGGGATTGTTCGAGGATTTAACCGACCCGGTAGGTAAATAGTATACTCCATCTTCAATATACACAGTACAACATCCCGCCGATAGATGTCTCCAACTATGGAGTACTTAGTACGGAGTAGACAATCCTACTATTAGCGATGGAGCAAATGGACACTCGGCAAACAAATATTTCAATCTCCTAATCAACACCAGATCAATTAGTAACTTCCCGTACGCGCCATCCATTTCGTCACTCATCTATCACGACATCATCCATTACAACCAAGTAAGTAACAACCGACTCCGAGTCCGAATCCGAGCATAGTACTTACTATACACTATCTACATAACAATCTATCTATCTGCGCACTACCTAACAACCGAAGCTCCATACCTGCAGTAGCGAACCCAGCTATCTACACTGCCAAGGCAATAGTTTAATATCCAAGTATGATTACACCCCGAAATCTTGAACGGTTGCATCGTCACGTTATCAAAACTGTGTGTCATAAACACACGGTCGGTGTTGACAGATTGATTTAAATTGCCAGATGGCAATAGTTAATAATGTTATTAATTTTATTAGCACCCCGTGTTAAGCCTTCCTCAAGCCCGAGTCTAGTCTCAACGGCGTTGCCTCTGCACGGCCCCCCCCCTGTTGCTAATATTGGTTCTTCCATGTGGGAAGAAAAGAAAAAAGAGGGGGCGTGCTCCCCAAAGGCAAGCGATATAGCATCTGGTCGATCGTAATAAGCCATTGTCAATAATAGTAGTAATTTAATTAGTACGTGGTTATCAGTGTGTGTGTTTACTGTTTAGCATGTATGTATGTAGCCTGGTCCCGGTCGCGTACTTACTTGGCTACTACGGAGGATTAACGTATTACTCCTATGTACTAACGAACTGAACTATTGATTGGGGAAGATTAAGAATAATTACACCGTATTACTACTACTACTTTAGTAGTTGGGTTTATGTAGGTGACAGCGTTGCACTAAAATATTCCCTGGTGCGGACATTAATTGCACTCAACTGCCCCATGGCATACATATTTATAGAACTCAAAGACTGCCTGGCAGTTGAACCCAGCTCTTCGGAGCATTCTATCTCCTCCGTACCAACACGAACCAAGCCATTAAGGAATAAGACCAATCTAATAGTATGACTACTGTATGTCCAGCGACATAAGACTCATCTCCAGTAAGGATTAATCAAATAGTCGCCTACTCGGTCGGTTACCTGCAGTATCCATCCATCCATCCATCCGGAGAAAACCACAGTAGCACCGCACCAGCACTACTCTGTAGCTGTTATGCAAGCAAAGCTCAATTCTGCAAAGAAGAAAGACAAGCGACGGAGAGAAGAAGAAGAACGGGGGGAAATAAAATCCAGCCACAGTTGCACAAGGGTATGCATAGTGGTAGATCATACCGTGTGCCCGATGTTTGACACAATCCGGATTGCTATATTTATGCAGATGATTTGAAGTAACCTGACATTGACTAGAAGCTAACTACTAGATACTACTTCGTACCCAGTGTCACACACGGCCGAGAAGAGCGTTCGTTCACGCAGTGTACGGCGTATATGTACGTATCCTGCCGTTGGATATAAGTCATGCAGAGTGCTTGAATAGGATATGCTGTGCGTTAGCTTCTGCTACAGATTGGTTAGCTTGCAACTCTTTACAAATGACAGGTCATTTACTTATGAGTAGATAGTTAGTAGCACTCGTGAAGATGTAGTTTTCAATAGATCCAATCAAAGGCAAACATACATCGCAGCAGCAGCAGCATACAGAAAATAGAATAAGGCAGGCGGTAAGGATATGCCCTCCTCCTCCGAAGGCGGTGAGATATCGATAAACCGTTTTTCTCATTTTTCTCCTCATGAGCAATTAAGCATCTGGTGATTTGCGAAACTTGACGCATACGACTCTTTTGATTTCCTATTCACTTTTAGCCGGGAATATACTATCCTCTGGACTCTGTTTCTCTAAGATATCCCGCATTCGCGACTTGCGTTTCCCGCCACTAAGTACTTCTCTCCTCCGCTCTACCCTCAAGAATCACCACCACCACCTACCCCCTCAGTATACACCTCGAACGAACGACAATATACCAGACAATGCGCTAACCAGATCCGCAGGATCAGTACCTCAAACCTCTTTATAATTTCATTCAAAATGCCCGCCTCCGTCCACTCCGAAGAACAAGACCAGTCCATGCTGGACGCCTCCGCGCCCCAGGAAGAGCAGACCGACGTCCTCGAGCTGGACGAGAAGCGCATTGTTGTCGTACGTATACACTTCATACACTGTTCATATGAATAACTTCCGACCGTATGCTAATACCTGATGAATGGGATAATAGTTGCCCGGCTCATCCGATACCGCAGCTTCATTCCAATTCGAGGGAGAGGGTCACACTCTGGGTAATGCGCTGCGATATGCGATTATGAAGAAGTGCGTACACAACCCGCCCTTTTAATTACACTGCTATGTTGCATCTTGCTAACGGGGTGGGTTTTCCTTGGGTTATAGCCCCGAAGTCGAATTCTGCGGTTACACTATCCCCCATCCTTCCGAGACGAAGATGAATCTTCGCATTCAGACTTATGGTTAGTAAACCTCCTCCCTACCTCCCATAGGGTTGAGATAGAATGAAGACAGCTGATATTGACTGTGATTGTCAGAAACAACCACCGCCGTCGAAGCCCTCGAAAAAGGTCTCGACACTCTAATGGATCTCTGTGATGTCGTTACGGATAAGTTCACCACTGCTCGGGATGACTTTAATGCTGCGCAGGCGGATCGCATGGAGGCTTAGGCATTATTTTTTTATTATACATATTATAGACTCTTGGGTGGTTATTGGCTTTGATGCTCTCTCTGTGTGTGTGTGTTATGTTTTGCTATTTGATGGGATTGATGGCGTTGTGTGTGTGTAGAAAAGTTATACCTTTTCCTTCTTTTTTATTTTACTTTACTTTTCTTTTCTTTATTATTTGGGGGTGGTTAGGTGGGGTGTATTTATTGGGTGGGTGGGTAAGGTGCTGTGGTTTCGAGGGGGTGGATGGAGTGAAGGGTATATAGCATCTACTACAGTACTACTATATGCTCATAGATATGTGGGTTGATTATGTGGTCTGGGCTTTGTTGACACTTGCTGGCTGTTAGCCCTGTATGTATGTATTTATCGGCTGTTCGTATCAAACAGTCCAAAAGCCTACAGTAGTGTCTTTCTCATACGGACCGCAATCAATTCAAATACAGTCTACATGCTTACTACACAAGCAACCTCGAGTGATTCAAAAAACATCATGTAGTCAGACAATATTTACATAACACTCACACACACTCTATCAGCGTTCGCAGCCGTCAGAGAACTTTCAATGCTAAGGGATACCAGGAGTATAAAGGAGATAAATAAGAGATGATGGTGGGTGATAATAATTTCACAATTTCAATTGCGGCCTTCCAAGAAGCCCGAGATGAAGTTGGGAGGTAGCCGAGCACCGGGGTCCTCCTCGGGGCGGAAGTACTTCATCACATGCGACAGCTGCTTCCAGTAGTTGAGGGTTTCCTATTGATGTTGGTCAGTAACACATTATCCAGACCATGATATGTGAAACTCAATTGGTTGATGTAGATTGTATCAATGGCAGCAATTGAGCATCACTAGGCTGCCCAATTCTCATAACTCACCTGGAACTCAGCGTGGCTCTGGTACAACAGCACATCAACAACGTTCAGCTGGTTGACGTAGCGGTGCTTCTCGAATTCCTGGCGGATCTTCGTACGAATAGCGGAGACGGGGAGGTTCAGAGAGTACATAGTCTGAATCTCGGGGGACTATATTATCGCAATTGAATGGAGTCATGTTAGTCTGGATGTTTCTCGTAGAATAGTAGTCATCGAATTTGGTGTTATGGTCCGTCGCAGGGTCTGTCTGGTAGACGCGGAGGGTCGACGGACGACCACACCGGGAATGCCAGGCCATTGATGATCGGGAATAGGTGATGGAGCATAGGTATTATCGAGTATAAGGATCACTGACCGCTCTAAGCCATTCTCTGTAAGACTTGAGGACACGGTGCTTCGCATCACCCCAGTTGGCAGCTACACAAGGCGAGAAAAGGTCAGCTCGGGATTCCGGCCATTGACGTTGCGGCAATTTCTAAAGGGTCGGACTTGGTCGGGACAACCGAGTCCTGAGAGGTAGGGGAAAACGTACAGGAGCGCGTGCGCTGAGCAAGGAAGGTCGGGTTGATAGTCATCTTGAACAGTGGCCTAGTGGTGAGGCTCGACAATGGCACACCTGGGATGAGAGGGGAGAGAAAGACGACGGTGGGGGGGAGGGAGAGCGAATGGGGAAAAGGAAGGGAAGTTCGACGGACCAACCTTAAGGTGACGATGCGAGGAGATCGAGAAGTGGTGGAGGTCCTGCACTTCCCGGGTTGCGGCTCACCGCCTGCCTGTTTCAAAAAATTTCTCTTTCGGAGGCGTGATCTTGGAGGGTCCGGGGCTTCATTCGTTCCAATTCTTTTCTTCGGCTTGGATTCGGTTTATTTACTTGATTTTCGGTATATCTGAGGTCCGTGATTTTTGTGCTATTTAGGCGACTGGATTTTTGTGGCTGGTTCTCCCGCTCCCCCACCATCGCAGGCGACAATCCAGATTTTCTTGTCTCCCTCTTTCGATACTCTCCATATCATCAATCCCGACACGCAGACTTGAACCGAAGCAATGGCGCCGACCAAGGGCCCCGCCGCTGGCAAGGCCTCGAACAAGAGCGACGGAAAGAAGAGCAAGCCCCTCTCGTCCGCATCGAAAGTGAACAAGAAAGGCGCCAAGCGCCCGCCGCCCAAGGAAGTCAAGGCGAAGGCGCGCACGGAGTCTAGTCTGTTGAAGAAGACGAAGAAGAGAGAATATACCGAGGAGGAACTGGGACTGCCCAAGCTGAATGCGATCACCCCTGTTGGTGTGGTGAAGCCCAAGGGTAAGAAGAAGGGCAAGACTTTCGTTGACGATGCGGTACGTATTCCATCTACTTTCTAGGCCGTTGGATGATTGTCGCATTGACTAACAATGTTGCAATAGGAGGGAATGATGACCATCCTTGCCATGGTCAACGCTGAGAAGGAAGGACAGATTGAATCCAAGATGATGAAGGCTCGCCAGTTGGAGGAGATCCGTGAGGCTAAGAGAAAGGAGGCAGAGGCTAGACAGGCGCAGAAGAAGTCTAAGCTGGTGCGTATATATGCCTATGATTTCCCAGTTGTCCTGTTGAAGGACTTTTATGATTCAAGGGTTGCTAACTGGTTTGATCGGAACAGGAGGAAGCGAAGCAGTCCATTCGCCAAAAACGCAAGCACAAGGGTGGCTCCAGCGAGACAAAGGATGAAGCGCCCAGCAGGGAGTCGTCTTCCAAGTCAAAAGGAAAGAAGAAGAGTGTTGCGTTTGCTTGAAATTCTATGTACAAAAGTAATTCTGTCTATACCGGGTCTATGTAGTTAGATGGGTCTCTGGCGTTATACTGGTCTATGTCTTCCGAAACAACGGCGTGCATGACACATGATGAGCATCTCTCCAATTGAAGCACTGATCCTATCAATGGGAGCAGTTCGGTTATGCAATATTTGTTGACTAGGGCCTGATTTGCAGGTCGAGCTTGCGTTGCGCAGGAATGAATTTCGGCTTTGGTGCCGTATCTGCGTCCTTTTCGGGACCCGTATGGTGGGCAAGATGACCGGGAATCTTCTCGGGATCCTCAACCTTGAACGGCACGGTAAGGTCGACCTCCTTCGCCATGAGGTTAAGGAAATTCGCCACCTGGAACAGTTAGATGTAAATAGACAACTGGCAGGTAGCTTTCACATACTGGCTTCACAAACCACCTCCCACCTCCAAGCTCAAACCAGCCAAGATGTCCACCCCAAGAGGTAGTCATCATCACACCGTACGGGGTTTGCGTCATCTCCTGGAATGGCAGTGCGGCAGCGCAGGCAATCTGCTATCGGTTAGTATACGGAAGTTCACGTCCGAGAACCTGGACTCACCGGGTCGTCTTCGGCTTGTATAACAAAGAATGGAATACGAATACCGAGCATAGCATCGGTAGAAGAAGCATCGCGATAGTATGCTCCTTCAGTAGGGTAGCCCCACGACGCACATTGCAAAGCCCTATTCGTGTCTAACGTTAAAACCATGCAGATGCAAATATGCTTGTAGTGATACTTGCCGGTCGAACTCATGCAAATAAGTAATATTCCTCACCTCGTCAACGTCGATTCGCGGGTTCTTGGAGACCTGCTCCACGTGCCTGATGGTCTCGAGTCAGATGCAGAAAAACCAATGATTAGATGGATTTCACCTACCGTTCGAACAGATCCTTCATGCTCGTACCCATTACCTTACTATAGACCTCGCGACCAATCAAGGTGCTTTGCAGGTTTAAGGAGCCAATTTCGAGGTTCCAAGGACTAGCACAGAGTACCGCGGCCTTCAACTCGCAGGCATCGCCCTCCTCACCCAAGTACTGCGATCACGTCAGTCAATCCTAGTTACTTATGCCTGACATAGACTTACATTAGCAAGAATGTTCGCGCCGAGCGAGAAACCAATTCCAAACAAGGGGCGATTCGGAAAAGTCTTCCGTAGCCATTTGACAGCCTGACGAATGTCCCAGGTAGCACGAGCATTGTAAAGCACACCAGTCGTAATCTTGGTTTGCGAGCAGCCTCTGGAGTTGACGACACAAGCTTCCCAGGTCTGATCCTTGATAAGAGGTGCAATCACATGGCGCAGATAAAGTTCATGTGATCCGCCGCTTAGGCCATGGAGAACCACGAGCATAGGCTTGGTGTCGTCCGAGGGAAGCGCAGCAAATTCATACTCCGAGAAGAATGACGTCCGTTCGGGTAGCCCTGACGGCTGAGTATATTTTCTCTCGCTATCAGTCGCATGAGCGTCGCTGGGCGGCTCATACGGATCTACCACGAAGTCTATCGCAAAGTGCCCAGACAACATCGGGTTCTCAGCCTCGAACATCCAGCGCTTGTAGTGCACCGGAACATTATCAAACTTCGCGGTCGTCCAGGCAGTCTGAAGATGACCATTGAAAAGGAAGGGGTTCAGCTGGCACGTCTTCGGAGTGGCAGTGCGACAGAGGTCTGCCAGAGTCACTTGCGCCTGGGATCTAGACTTTCCCGCCTTTGTGGCCAGTAGGAGATTATTATCTTTCGCATGATAGTATGTGATCCGGCCATTAGGGCGGATCCATGAGAGCAGGCCCATTCCCAGCAGGCCCGCCACAAGAAGCGGTATGGAGAATGTGCTTAGTAGGCTGAGGGGGGTGTCAACGAATGACATGGAGAACCGGATCTGGATGAAGTGCAACGCCAAAAAAGAAGAATCTAAAGAACATGCACTAGATAGCACGCTATAATCACCTGCAGGTCTAAAAAGGGGAAACGGGAACCACAGGCGACACCGAACAGTGAAAGATGGGATGGAAAAAGACCCATCGATCTTGATTAATGCCTCGGCTTGATTGCCTCATCCAGTAAGGCTCATCTGATGTGCTTATCGGGACAGGACCTTATCGTTATCGCGCCGATCAGTCAGCAGTACTGAATGACTCAGCGGGGAGGATCATGAGGCACCCTCCACAAGATGAACACCCTCCCAGATCTCGACGTCACTTGATGTTGCATCTTTCATCCCCCATCTGGTCGTGCTGTCCCGGAAAACGGTGTCGCAACAGACTGCTGAATTTTTAGAAGCATGAACATTCTTCAAGGGTGGGTTTGCGGGTCGCTGCAAGATCGATGCGGTAAACACAGGCCCGGATGCGGAAGCTCAGTGTAGGCCTTGATCCGATAGCATCATAGACTTCCTTAGCCGTTCCCCAGTCGGGCGAAACCCTTCCTACGGACTGATACGATAACAGTCTAGATCCGTAGACTGCTTGGATACAGTCGCCAATAAGAAGCTTGATCAAACAATCGGCCTTTTGCTCTTTGGTCCAACGGAAAGGCCCATTTTGTTGTATGTAATCCTGACGGCCTCTACTACGCTGTGACCCCGGCGCGTGCTCCGTTTGCGTGCGAATCTACAACCTTTGCGAAGGTTACTTCTTGAAGGTCAAAAGGCCCTCTCTCCCGTCTTTCTCTTGACAACTTATTTTGTCATGTGGCTCGCTGTCCTTTATATGTTCTAGGACACCATGATGCCCCAAACCCAGCAGAAAACGGGCTGGTATTCTCTCATGTTCTGAGTCCTTGTTGAATTCTTGACTATAGATCACAGCACATATACCTTAATTTCTTGTTACTTACACACAGACGATACAGTCTGCCACGACCGACGAAATGAGGTCCGATCTGCCGGTTGATATGGGATCTAGTTTCCGCCGTGCTGGGGAACGATTAAGGTCCATCGCAAAGATGAATCGCTGGGCGAAAACCCAGTTTGAAGGAAAAGCCGGCGATAACGACACCATTACCAACTGCTATCTCCTTGCGCTACCGACAGAGCTGCTCCTGGAAATCATTTCTCACCTGTCTGTGCTGCCCGAGGCATGTCTGGCGCTGACCTGTAAACGCCTCTACTCGATATGCGGTGCTACCCTAGGCGCCAAACCCCTCCATTTCAGTCGAGACTTTGCACCGCTTTTCCACCACTACCGAAATGGACACAATTTCGTCACACCACGTTGGCAATTTATAAACTTGCTAGAAGATAATAGGTGGCGGGCATGTTCTCGATGCTTGAAACTCCACCCGCGGAGCTTCTTTCCCGCGCGAGAGCTGAAACGAAAGTCCGAGGATAGATCATGCAACCTAGGAAGTTCGGCAGGCATAGTAGACCTGTGTCCTTGCAAGAAGTTGACCTTCCAGGATAAGGTGGAGCTTGTCGAACTCTTGAGGGTACGGCGAAAAACGATCACGGATTTGGCGATCCAGTTTGGTTCCGGGATGAAGCAGCAGCGTTTCTGCTGGCATAGTTGCACTGAGGACTACGGATCGACGCAGCTAGATATTGAAATCTACCCTGAGCTGGACGACGAAGACCAATTGAAGATCAAGACAGAATACCGCTTGCGCACGGGTTCCGGCCAGCTCGGCAAAGAGGAGCATATGACGCCGCGATTTGGATGTGCTCACCGGTCCGTTGACTTATGGCTTTCGAGTGTCTGCCAGACGACTCTCTGTCGCCTTTATGACAACCAGTGCGCGTCCTGCAAGCGAATATCCGTATGTAATACATGCAATGCCTCACTCAGGTGTCCTCGCAAACAGCCATGTCGAGTGGACGATGAAACGGGACAAGCAACATACCATTTTTATACTGAAAGGTGCTTGGGAGGATCGGGGCCTGTACCAGATCAGACATGGGCAGCGCAGCGAATCCATCCCGCGGAGAATCTGATAGACGTCGCAAACTGCAGTGAGCTATGCCCGTGGACGATCCGAGAACATCCGCCTCTGGAAGAAGCCCCGTCTTTGGAGATGAATATCCTCAATCCCGCTATACAGGATCAGTCGATGAATCAGCTGTATACCTCGATCAGTATGATTTAGGGTTGGTTGCTGTAGTCACGAATCTCATTGTGTGTGATGCGTTCTGGATGGACCTGGTTTCGGCGTTATGCAAGGACTCCTGGGGGTTGAATAGCTTGGGTAGTAAGGGTGTATAATGGCTCGATTATTGATTCAGGGTGGTGTTGGGCTTGTTTGTTATAGAGGGAAAGGGTTCGGGATATAATTAGTATAGTATAGTTAAGCTAGAGAGGGTGTCAACGGAAAGACCCATACAATGCACATGATATAACGCTCTGTATGCATTTTCGAAAGAATGGATAGTCCAGATATTCAGCTAACACGGGTTGTTCCGTCTACTGAGTAAAGTACTGGAGTAATGTCATGTAGCAGTCAAGCCATGGATGGTAGAACTCACCTGATCGCGCCTCACCTGACCGCCCGGGGGTTTCTCCGACCCGACGCGGAAACGGAAAAGGCGGCGCGATCCAGAAGAACAAGAAAGATAGAGAGTCATTCCCAAAATTTAGAAGCATCCTCGTCGTCTCGCTATATATACTTCCCGGGAATAGCAGAGCGCAGTGGATTGATGAGCATTGTCTGCGTCCTGGGGCGATGAGCTACCCACCACCCCATAACGGCCCATATCCTTCGCAGTATATGCAGCAACCCCCCAATCTGCCGCATCACCAGCAGACCATCCACCCGCAGCAGCTACTGTACAACAACAATGTCAACGCGAGCGCTTCGCCATATCAATATGGGAAGCCGGTGGTCTACCCCCAGGTCATGATCCCGGCGTATCCTGCTTACGCGCAGACTTATAACCCGCAGCCGCCGCAACAACAGCAACCTCCTCCTCCACCACCTCAACAGCCTCCACCCCAGCAGCAGCCGCAACAGCAATATGTCAATCCGTCGGATCTGTTCAACCCACCACCACTTGCTTCTACCTCGCCTCCTCAGTTCACCAATAGTCCGTCTCAATATGCCGCACAACCAGCGGCGTCTGTTGCAGGCAACAGCCGCTCCCCAGTCCTCCCTACTTCTACCCCCCCCCAATCCACGTACTATGCCGCCCCAGATCTAAACCAAGCGAATCAAACCCCCAACAATTACCCTCAACCTACATCCACTACGCCCTCAGTTCAAGTGCCGACTCCCGCTGCTGCTGCCCCTGCGGTCGCGGCCGCGGCTGCGTCTCCTGCCCCTGCTCCTGCTGCTAAACCGGTTGCTGCCATACCCGTCCCCGTTAAGCCAGCCGCGGCCAAACCTGTCGCTCAAACTCCCCCGGCACCATCCCCTAAGCCTGTACAGGTGTTAATCCCAGCTCCTACCCCAGAAGTGCAGCAGAAAATCCAGCGTCCTCCCCCCAAAAAGCAAGCACAGCGACAAACTGGCCAAAAACCTACACAAAAATCAGCAGGCGCGCCGATCGACTATCAAGTGCTGCTGTTGGCCATGGCTGATGAGTATCTGAATGCTGCCCACAGTCATGGCACGTTGGTAGCCTTGTTAAGACGGGAGATGGAGATGGACGAGTATTACAAATTAGTTGCTACAGGTCTTGGTTGCTTGGAAGCTGTTCTCAAGGTACGCTGGGACTCTTGATCCTTGACGCGAACGCATGTTGCGGTGATGCTGATTAATGTGGCGCAGAACTGGCGGCTTCAGCCCCGGGTTGAAGCTCTAGTCCGATTACGTTATGCCCGTATATTGTTCGAGGAAACAGACAACGACCTTGAAGCGGAGACAGCATTAAGCAAAGGTGTACGTTTCATTCCTGCCCTACATCTTGTTGCTTTTGCTAACTTTGTTGTATAGATTGACCTTTGCGAAAGGGTGAGTTCTTTCATCTTTTCCATTCGTGGAGCTATTGCGATAATGAGGTACTAATAAATGCAGAATCGGATGCTTGATCTGAAGTATAGCATGCAGCATCTGTTGGCGCGAATGCTGTACAAGACGAATCCAAAAGCCTCGCTGAAAGCTGTTGATGGGATGATTCAAGATGTCGAAGCGTATGTACCGTGGACGCCATTATATCAATTTTTTACTGAACTCATTAGGTATCGCCACTCCGCCTGGGAATACGCTTTTCGTTTTCTTCGAGTGTCTCTTTCACTTTCCTCATCGGCCCATCAAGATTCAGTGTCGGCACTGCAACACCTTCACAAGATTTCCACCATGGCCAGCCGCAATGGCGATAGGGCTGTCTCAGCCATGTCTGCGATAATCGAAGCTCTAGCGCACCTTCAGCAAGGATCCGGGTTTGACTCGGTCGAGCAAGCCCAGCGTGCAGTAGCAGTAGCGCGGAGTCACCAACTTAACGACGAGCTCCGACATATCCCACAGCTAACGACTCTAGTCCAAATTGTCGATATTTGCTGCAGTTTACTTGAATACGACATCAATCAATCATCGCAAAAGCTGAAGATGCTGCAAGATTTGATGGACGAACGCTTAAACGACTCGAATTGGCGCAGCGATGGATCATTCTCAATTCCATTGAATGGCAAGTCGGCCGGACCGTCTTCCATTGACACCGGGGACATCCTCCAGGTCCAGAGTGGCACGCTGCTGTTAAGCTTTAATTGGCTACCTCAGCACGATCTCTACGCGCTTTGCTACTTCCTCAGTTCGATCACACTGAGTTGCAAAAACTCGTATGATGGACGTAAGGCAGAGAAGTTCTTGCAGGAGGGCACTCGTATGTTAAAGGGTTAGTACACCTGATTTGGCGAAGGTCATCTCATTTCTTCTCAAATGTGTTATTGACGGTATTGTCACAGGAAGTTTCAAGGCGCCACAAGAGATCACAGAATCGGTGGTTAATGCGAACAGACGCGTTCAGTGGCGCAGGATTCTATACTGCAACCTGCTCGTTCAGCAGGTTTTCCTTGCTTGCGGTCGCACAGATTGGGAGCTAGCCAGCAAAACATTGAAGGAACTTCAAGAAGAAGGTCAGGAGCTTGGCGACCAGCTCCCAGATACCGTTGAGTGCCTAATGGAGTATGCTACTGGTGCTATTGCGCAAGCAACCGGCGACCTCACCGCAGCTCTGAACGCCTTTCAATCCCCTCTTCTCTCGTTATCCACGAACTTCAGCAAGACGGCGCGCAATGAGCCACGCCGCGACATCGCCATTCTCGCCGCTCTCAACACCGTCCTCATCCTCCGCGATCCCACCCATCCCTCTCACTCCCACCTACCCGCCGTCTTATCTACTGTGGAATCCTTCTGCACTGGCAGTCCCAACAAGTACATCCAAGCAGCATACTACCTGGTCTGCGCCACCGTCCAGACTGAGTCCACGATCCAAACGAAGCAATACCTACAACAAGCCCTCCAATCCGCCACGGCAATCAGCAACAGCCAAATTACCTGCATGACCCTAACCTTCATGAGCTGGAAATACTTTCGCGGCGTCGTCGGCGAACAAGCCGAGAAGAGTGCCCGAGCGGGCCGCGCCATGGCTAAGAAAGCCAACGACCGGCTCTGGGTCAGCGTCACCGACGAAATGCTAGCCGAAACGCTAGAACGTCAAGGAAAGAACGAGGAGGCCAAAGGCGTACGGGAAGAAGGTCATCGCGTAATGATGGGATTGCCGTCTGCTTTGAAGAGGCCTGTATGATGGATGCAGGCTTTACCTTGGTCCTTTAACTTTCTTCTTCCTCCTTTCTACCACTTGTTGTTGGTAGTGGCGGTTGCTTGACTTGCTATTTAGCCCATTTTTTTGTAATTTCTACCATACCTCTTTTCCACATTCCCATCCTCCTTATTACCTCTGCCCCCCTTTCATATCCTTTTTCTTTTCTTGCTTTCTATATCTCTGTAGTGTGGTGTTTACGGCTGAAGTTCAGTTCATGATACCATGTTAGGGCTGTTCTATCCATGTGTCTTATCTGCTGCTCTATCTGTCTGGGACTGTGGGGGGTTGGTTGTTATTAGGGTGTTTGGCGTCATGTGATGACATTGATAAAAGGGAGTGCGCGCGTGTGAGTTGTTCCATTTTTGTGTGGAAATAAATAGTTGATACAATAAGATCCCGGTTTCAGGTGACAATTAGATATTCGGTATTTGATTCATAAGATCAGACATCCAGGCATATTCATTGATGATAGCTTGACATACACAGGATGATTGATCTGGTCTGTCTGACTGGCCATATATGAGAAGGATGGAATAGATAGTACACCTTTCATGTTCGATTCAACGGACATAATAAGTAGGTTGTTGTGTTGTTATACACGCACACGTGACAGAGCCGGTAGTCAAACGGCGTTTGAGTCAACAGTTCATCAAATCAAGAGGTAGGTAGGTAGGTAGGTGAGATCAAAATCGGTAGACTTTGTAAACAGCATCAAACAACGGCTTCAAAAACAACAAAGAAAAGACCCCGCGGTTCGCCTCAAGACCCCGTAACCTTTCCATACGCCTGAGACCCTATACAACACCAAGTGGTAGCAAAAAAGACAGAGAAAGATGTTGAACGAAATTTCCCCACTGTTAGATTATAACAAAGTCGGAAAGGAGAGAAGTAAGACGGAGAGAGATGAAATCAGAGAGGTGGTGAGGTAGAGTAGGTAGATGGTGACAGTAGACAAGAAACTGGCTTTTGTTCATGGGCGTTTTGTCTCGATTTCGTTCTTTTCTTTGGACTTCTTCTCCTTTTTGAGTGATAGAAGGGGTATTTATTGGTGTGACGTTTAGCCCAAACCACCCCAGACACCACGGATGCGTCGAGCAAGTTGGATATCTTTCTGCATGATGGTCACGCGCTTGGCGTGAATCGCACAGAGGTTGGTGTCCTCGAAGAGATGTACAAGGAAAGCTTCGGCTGCTTCCTGAAGCGCTTGGATCGCATGCGACTGCCACCGCAGCTCGGCGCCAACTTCTGAAGGGAGGAGGTCAAGCGCGACCTCGCGGACCAGCCGAGCGAAAGGAAGCTTTTGGATAAGCAGATCGTACGAGCGCTGGTACTTGCGGATCTCCTTGAGAGCCACGGTTCCGGGCTTGTAGCGGCGTACACGTCCTTGTGGTGTGGGGTCACCAGCTGCGAGGATGTCAACTTCTCATTCTTCAAGAGAGAGCGGAGCAGAGTGAGATCTGAATTGAAGGTTGTGGGAGGAGGTACGCACGCTGAACATCGGACTCTCTGGGTGCCTTTCCAGCAGGCCTTTTCCCACCCCTAGTCGCTCCAGTGGATTTGCGCACTTTCTTGGCCGCCGGCGATGCCGTTGTAGCTGCTGTTGAGGAGCTTGCGGCAGCACGGTCGCCAGCTGTTGATTGTCGCGGCGCCGCCGTAACGCTCTTGCGACCGCGACCGCGACCGCCTGTCTTGGGGGGCATGTTGACTTCCTTAGCGCTTGGCGAGCAATTGGCCGGTTCGGTGTTCAAGACGAGAGGGGCGAAAGAGGGGTAGCTTTCTGGAGCTCCTTCGCACCGGGCGAGTCAATGACACTTGGGAGTTCGGTGGTGTAGAGTGGTGCGCGAGATCGTCCTCCGGCGGCCTGAGGCTTTGTATAATGAACTCTAGGTGCGATTGAGTGTCACGCTTGAGAAATAAGCTGCAAGGTGATAGCCGCGGAGGAGGGTTTGTCAGGGATGAATTTGCATGCGAGAGGGACCCATCCGGGAGGCCGAACGGACTATGAAGTGATGGAATCCCCAGCCATCCGAATTCCTGTCCGAACGCGTGCGAGGCGCGTCTTGGAGGCGTCGAAGCGCGCGGGAGTGACACGTGACATATGCGCTGGGGGGAGTGACAGGTGACACCTGAGGCCAAAAGGCCAGCTGGAGCTCGGCGATTACGGCGGAAGTAAACTGGCAATTATTTAGTTGGTGATTCGACATCATCCCCTTATCGATCATACTTGCCCGTCTTCTCGAGTTCTTAACCGCCAAAAGACAACTGTCTGCATCCTCGCTATTTCGCTTATCGCATCGTATCCGCCAACCGAATAGCCTCCCCTCGCTGAGTCTAATCGCAACGTTCGCAACTCTATCTATCTATCCTCGATCATGGCCGCCATCTGGGGTAACGGCGGGCAGGCTGGCCAGTTCCCGCTGGAGCAATGGTTCTATGAAATGCCCCCTGTGACTCGATGGTGGACAGCAGCCACCGTTGCCACTTCAGTATTGGTTCAATGTCACGTCCTCACCCCATTTCAGCTGTTTTATAGCTTTCGCGCAGTCTATGTCAAGTCTCAGGTGCGTCGCAGCTAGGCCTTCCGTCCACATGTATGAAGTAGACGAACAATGCGGCTAACCATCGCATAGTATTGGCGTCTATTAACGACCTTCCTATACTTCGGACCACTCAATCTCGACTTACTATTCCATGTGTTCTTCTTGCAGCGATACTCGCGCCTCTTGGAGGAATCATCGGGGCGATCGCCGGCCCACTTCTCGTGGCTTCTGTTCTACGCCATGGCCTCTCTTCTCGTCCTCTCGCCATTTCTCTCCCTTCCCTTTTTGGGCACGGCCCTCTCTTCCAGTCTGGTCTACATCTGGAGTCGTCGCAACCCGGAAACTCGCCTCAGCTTCCTGGGGATGCTGGTCTTCACCGCCCCATACCTCCCCTGGGTCCTGATGGCATTCAGCCTGGTCGTCCACGGCATCGTGCCTAAGGACGAAATCTGCGGCGTTGTCGTCGGCCACGTCTGGTACTTCTTCAATGACGTCTACCCTTCGCTTCACGGTGGCCACCGTCCTTTCGACCCCCCTATGTGGTGGGTGCGTCTGTTTGAGTCCGGGCCTGCAGAACGAGGCACCGACGCGGCCAACGTCAACGGGGACTTCGCCGCTGCTGCTGCACCCGAAGTTCGGTGAGCTATTTGCGTGCACCCGCTAGGCATTGTTACATAGCGATCTGAGAATCGTCCGCGCAATCGCCCTGGAAACGTCAGCCTATACGCATGTACTGCCGACAGCTCGCTCCAACATGTGCAGAGCATGAGAACATAATACTGTCGGGATATAAGCAAGGGCCACGGCGGCAAATCTGGCGAACTTCTTATCGTGTGGTTTGTCTTGTCTTGTCCAGGGAGAGTCATTTGATCTACCCCCACGCTGCCGTGGCTGGTTGCGCTCTGGCCTCTACCAGAAATATCACAAGGGTCATCAGGATCCCGAGCATCGACATCCGAGAGACAGAACAACAAACATATTCCGCCAACCAGTGAAGGAGTTGGAATCACTTGTGGGGAAGATGTGGAAGAAAGGAAGCAAGAAGTATCACGAAGGTCATAGCGGGCGCTCAACCTGCGAGTGTTAGTAATAGGCATCTCCGTAAGAGAGACAGACTAACTATCATGGCGATCAATCAGCTAGTAGTTCAATGAATATACCCAAACCATATTTCAAACCTGATAACAATTTACAGGAGGGGCAAGGGAGGTGGTTCGTGTGAACGCATGGACGCATGAGGCTGCCTCCTCCTATATGCAGTAGGAATACCGTAGTACCTAGCATTCCGATTACCTGAAAGGGAGGGAGGGAGCGAGGGGGGAAGAGCGGCCCACGTGTCGATCCAGGGTGTGCAAGCAAGCTCGAAGGTTGGGGTGAATTCTCCGCAATAATGTCTATCCTAATGTCGCTCTTCTTTTTTACTTTCTTAATCGCTGCTGCCTCTTCCCACTTTTAATCAATGCCATACAGACTTGTAGTTTGCTAGGATCTTGGACCCTGAACCATCCATCGGGTAGAGTATCGTATCATATGATTTAATCTATTTGGTTGATCTGGTCTATTCTTCTATCTATTACCCGTGTTATGTAGCACAGACGGTATAGTTACCATGGATTCAGGACTACTACTACTCAACTCAGCTCTGACGTTGATCAATAAGACAGAAAATGACGCTTTGGGCCGATCAAAGATAATACAGTCTTAATTCTCTCAGCATGAAGCCTCGCTATCTACTATACGGAGTACAGTGCGGGATTAAAGCATGCTCTGACCTCATCCCACTTACAGATCATCGGTTGAAAGTGGGGGGTGATAGACATGAACAAATCAACCACGGGGCAGGGGGCCTTGATGGTGCATATCCCCTACACAGTAGGCTGGGTTATTTACTTGTGTGTTTATTGGGTGAAAGGTCCGAAACGGTTCTGAATAGCAAGATAAGTAGGTAGGTAGGTCATTCACTAAATTTGGAGATGGTGGACGTTAGTAGTAGATGAGGGCTGGGCGAGGTCAGGCCTCTCGTCTGCCTGCGTGTAAGCATATTGGTGAGATGAAATGGGTGGTTTCTTTTGATGGACTCATGATTTGTTCTGTGTCTTTGTGAAACGTTAGTACTATTACTTTAGGTATTCTATTCTTAACAAATCAGTCAACATTTTGATTGGATTATGAAAGAGAAGAGGAAGATAGGAAGCCGAGTACGAGTACGCGGAAGCCCAAACAGGGGACAAACAGGGAACCACCGGGGCTCGTTTCTGGTCGGTTGAAACACACCACAAGAAACAGATAAATGTAGCACATAATTAACTCCTGCTGCCATCGACAAACCAGGATCTGGCACAAAGGTACATGCGATTCGACAACCGCGGGTCGTTGCCATGCATTCCATTCCCTACCTAGTCATTTTCTCCTCTTCCAGTGGACCTGAGCATGGAATGCCAGCCACTCAGTCAAGATCGGTTCCTTTCTTGCGCCAATCTGGATATGTTGAAAGGTCTGATTGGATGTGTCTCCTGGTAGCATGGATTAAGGCCCCCCTCTCTCCATGTGTGGATGTGGGTCCATGGGTTATTTTCTCTAACCGTCGAATTTTCCTTTTCTTTTTCTTTTTTTCTTTTTCCCTTCTTTATCTTTGGTTTGGAAAAGACTTGGCATTTCTCTGGGGAAGAAATCCAGATTGGTGGGTGTGGTTTGCTGGTCGGATAAAGTGTGAAACGGCCCCCAGTTTGGACGGATAGTGGCAAAGCATGGCTGCATGAGACTGATCTTAGTAGCCAGACCACTTTTGTACTATCTTGGAGTTGGAGGGTTCTGTGTCTGGCCCATTCTTTTCTCCCCGGGCTCTGTTTGAGCCATTTGCCCTTTCACATGGGAAGGTTGCGACGACCCCACGCCAAAAATACTTGTGCAGTATCCACCACTAACCCACTCCATAGCCCGCCTAATCTGTCAAATCTGATATCAGTGGAGCTCGGATGAATTTGCCAGCGAAGTGCCCACCAAGAAAAAAATCAGTGAGGATATACGGTGGTGCCTGTGGTGGTCGGCGGGTTAACCACCGACCGCCGATTCTCCGTCTCTCAGCAAACTCACTCGTACTCGTAAATCCGGCTCCAAGGGAACTTGGAAATGGAAATCCCGACCAGGGTCCATGGGGTGCAATCAATGGCTGTAACAAGCTCGGCGGGTAAAACGTTCTCCATCCATCCCAGTTGTTTCCAAACTATGCCTGTGTCCCAGCCACGAACCTCCGACACCAGATTGTGGCTGGACAGACACCCTAGGCAACTGAATTAATCCATTAATCCAGGTGGCGAGAGATCTCTCTTGTCCGTCTTACTCTCTTCTAAATATGGATCCTCGAACGAATAAACAAGCCTTTCTGGATGGATAAAGCGCTTCCCACTTCTGCCTGATCGCCTCGTTTCGATGCGAAGGAAGGAAGGATGGATGGATGGGCGGTGCTGGGCCCCGCTGTGATTACTCGCTCATTGCCGGGCACATCAGATATGATGTTATACATCGGCAAATGCCATTCAATCACAATCAATCGTCTTGCTCTGTTAGACGCCAAAGTTTGGGCTGAGCTGTGTGTTCCACCGAGCCTTGTCTGCAATCTACTGTGTGCTGTGTATTGGACCTGCCTTAATTGGTAATTGCCTGAAACATTGAGCAGTTACTGGCTAACAGTGTGGTAGGGCAAACTGACAGGAGGACAACTCGACTACTGTAAGTAGGTACGGACAGATCACATACTGCTAGCCACTTAATCCTGCGTAAGTGCACATGGTATATCTACAAATCACTACTTTGTAGATTACAGCTTGCATCATGTCCAATCACCGTTGCAATTGACGGCTGCCGCCGGCGTCACCACTAAACACACAGTGCATGGACTACATCTGGGAAGCAGCCAAACACTGGCGATAGGCTTACTTATGGAACCATTACCAATGAACTGATCTGGCCCTGTCACTTCAATGCCGTCGATGCTGCAGCTGCCGTGTCACACAAGGACAATTGTTTTTGTCGAGATGCAACCTGGAACTTTATGCACGGGCGGCTTCGACAGCAGCGCTCCGCGGTGTTAACAAAAGGTAGACATTCAAAAGTACGAAAGCAGACAGAAGTCAAGGAAAACCACACAGTAGTACAGAGTA